GACATGTAGTTGCAAATTAATGAGAATTAGTTGACATGTAGTTGCAAAGTTAGTAGAATGTCTAAAGTGGACTATCAAAATAAAGTGTAAGCCAAAAAAGTAGTTAAAAGTTAGAGGATGTTTCTTTTTAAGACTTTTTTTATGTAGAACCTTGTTTATTTTATTAAACATTTGGTACAGCCATGTTACTGTACTTGTGTTGTCATGGATGTAATAATTTGTACATACACAAGATTAATGCAGTGGCTTTACTTAAAATTGAAAACACAATTCCATTGATTTGACAACTGAATACAATATAATCAAATGTTAATGCTGCGATTTCAGTACTCATAAGGATTCATTGGTAGTTGTTCAATTATATTATGTTATAGTAAATATGTCTTGTTTTACATTAACAGTAGTTTTGGCTGCTTTCTTCACTCTTCTACTAATTTATTGTCCAATTTCTCTGCTACGGTTTATTCAGTCTTTACAGTTTCTACCGTGGCCAGGAATCGACCAATCAATACCCCGCACTGGGCACCATGTTTACGTGTGTGTACTTAACACCTTTAACTTTATTATTTATTATTCTCAGGTTAGGTAAAGTAAGTCGAGTCTGGCCTACATTATAAGCTTTTCAGATTGCTTTCAACTTGGTCAGAAGACTCTTTTGGGGTTTGTTCTTACTCAGTTTTAACACACTATACATCAAAACCTTGGTAGGCAGTTTTTGTAATCATTTAAATTTCTTTAAATTGGTCGTTTCTTTTTATAATAAACAAAAATATAAAGGCAAATAATTCTCAACCACTTAAGTATAAAATACAATGATCAGCGTTTCTCTGTGCTGACGGTATAAGTATGCAAATCAACTCATCAGTTTCTAATACTCATGTCATCTGCTTGACATAAGTTGGCATTTTCCCAAAATTTCATGTGTTTTTGTTTTGTATTGTATCTGATAAATCAGGCTTTTACGGCTCATATAATCTGATACAGTGAGAATATGGAGGAAAAACAGCTCAGCTTCATTCAGAGACTCAGAGCTAAAAATATGAATTTGCTGCAGATGCTGATATTTCTGAGATTCTGATGCTTGTAATGTAAATCAGTGAGATCTTTCTAACAGTGCAGCTGATACTGAAAATGCTCTGAATATCAGCGGTCGCTCTATATCTCCAGTAATCTGTCTCAGTGAGATGAGAGTGAAATGCTCCAAACATATAATGCAGTGATTGAGAGCTGAAGAAATAAAGGCTCCTCAGAAGATGTGAGATGTTCTGGAGGCTTGTGAAGATCATTCCTCCGCTGAGGAACAGTGAAAGTAAAGCTTCTGGAAACAAACGCTCCTCAAAAGATCCTGAGGATCAGATTTGAGACTCTAAAACATGATTGATGGAGAATCAAGTAAAGCTGAGCTGCTTCAGTGCAGTAAGTGTTCATCTGGAGATATTACTGACGTTATTCTGACCTTTACTTGATCAAAATCAGTCAAGATCTGACACGAGAAGCAGCAGCTACAGTTACACTAAAAGAGCTCTGAGTGGATAAACAACTCTAAACAGAAGGCATGCCGTATAGATTGAGTGTGACAGCAAAGTTTGATTATGACCGATCATTTAGTGCCTTAGAAATTCAATCAAATTGAAATATGACACACTGGCTTTGAAAACGTTGTTCTTTCAGAGACGGGATGACGGACGCTCTTCGGCAGATGCACTGCGCTAAACTCAGACGCAGGTTTTCCATTATCAAACCGGCCAAAAGGTGCGTGAGAATCAAAGATGAAGCAGCGACGTTTCCGTTTCAGAGCACTGATAACATCATTCAATGTCTTTGTTTCTTTCTCAGTGTAAATCTGCAGAGCTTCACGCGGGGGCTATCAGATTTCATGAGCTGCCCGTACAGATCAAACACAACCGAGCGAGAGGTGAACAGGTTTGTGCCTCTTCTTTGCTTTTGGCAGATGCTTTTGTCTAAACTTGTGAAGTTGTTGTGAGTGATGAAAGTTGAAGCACAGGAACAACTTGATGCCTCACATTCCTCTGTTAATGTCATAGCATGACCTATAAAGGTAAAAAATTTCAACGAGGCAAGACAGAACCTACAAAAGAAAAATACACAACGTAATTAACAGTGCAATGCAATGCAAGTGTCAATGTCTTTGTTTCTTTCTCAGTGTAAATCTGCAGAGCTTCACGCGGGGGCTATCAGATTTCATGAGCTGCCCGTACAGATCAAACACAACCGAGCGAGAGGTGAACAGGTTTGTGCCTCTTCTTTGCTTTTGGCAGATGCTTTTGTCTAAACTTGTGAAGTTGTTGTGAGTGATGAAAGTTGAAGCACAGGAACAACTTGATGCCTCACATTCCTCTGTTAATGTCATAGCATGACCTATAAAGGTAAAAAATTTCAACGAGGCAAGACAGAACCTACAAAAGAAAAATACACAACGTAATTAACAGTGCAATGCAATGCAAGTGAGACAAACAACCAGTCAGAATCCTAAAACCATCACTACTAACCCAGTTTCTTTGAGGCCTAATCTCTCCTCTGCCAGTCTGGCTCCGACATACACACAACGATAGAACAAGAGTATTACATCTAAAGTAAACGGTAACCGTGCAAAACACAGTCTATTACCACAAAGAAAACTCATCAATAAAATAAAACAAACTCACTATAAATACTACACATCATTTAAAAACATAAGCAGCCTTAATACTAAACACAATGCGTCTAACATCTGTTATTTTTCGACTGTGACGCTCAGTAACAGGCAATAATCCAGCCACAGCGCTAAAAACAGAAGAGAATAACATCATTAAAACATGCTCTGAACTACTTTAAATCACAAAACTACTACCTCCTTTAAACGGTGCATCATATGCTCAGTTCTCGACGAAGCTCCAGCAGTATTTATTTTATATTTTAAGATCGAGTTTGATATTGCAGACAGAAATATTCAGATCTTCTCAAATGATGCAGACTGTCTTAGATGTTAGATTCATGAAACCCTACCGACATAATCCTGACCCTACACAATATTCCCTTCATCATTTTTGAGAGTGTAGTTAGTGTAAGATTGTGCACGGAAACCTAAAATGTTCACGATAACTATTGGTACATGGGTTGCGAACACATTTTCATGTGTACTTTGAATATTTTGACAGATTTGATGCTTTCAAGAGAATCTTATTCTAAAATCTCAGTAACGCATTTTACTTTATTTAACTCATCCATGACGCATGACACTGCAGACGTTTCCTTACAATCAGCATGAAAAAAATGTGTGCGGCTTTATCATTTCTGTGTGTTCATATCTGATTAGATTCATGAGATGAATGTGGCAGCTTTTAAAAAAAAACATTATTGTTCAGAGTCAGTGTGTTTAACGAGACGAGCTGTTAAAACAGTTCAAACTATAAATCTTTGAATGCTGAGATCATTTTAACAGAGATGACACTTATAAAGCTGCTGGATGCTAATAAA